TAGAGGCATCAATTATAATTTTACAGGACACCCTGATATCAGAGAGGAAATTGAAGCTAACTGAATTTTTTAAGTTATTTTTCTGTTAACAGTATGTTGAATATATAATTGATGCTTAATAAACATGTGTCATTTTTAAATAGAGAAAACTACATAGAACAATACATTAAATCTCAATGTATCCACCAGGTAGAATCAACATCTTTCAATATCCTACTATCTTGATTTCAGATATTTTTCATTCCCCATGAATGTAGGAAGATGACATATATTCAATTAAATCTTTGAAATTATATTCTGACATATAATCTGAAATTATATTCTTCCTTAATATTAAAGTTATCTAGGACCATGAATACTATACTTATTCACATACATGTTAGATTTAAATTAGATATGTATATATTTTTCATGTCATATGTTTTACAAAACGTGATTCTACAATTTGTGTTTTAATTACACATTATTTTTCAGAGATTTATCCCTATTTGTGCATACAATATAAACTTTTTATGGCCATATTGAACTTTATTACATCTATGTACCTATCTATAAGTATACAGCAATATAATTAGCTCATTCTTTATCAATGTACTAATTAATTATTTCATTTCTGATTTTACAAAAAATTATGCAATGTGTTTTTGTCCTTTATCTGTGCAATAATTTTTTTCTAAAATATGTACATAGAGTTAGAATTTCTAGATTGTGATAGAAGTGTTATATATGCATTAATGGTTTACAATAGTTTGTATTTTTCCAGAATCTGCTTAATACCTGATATCAGTCTTAAAACTTTGCCAGTGGATGAGAAAAGTGAACACTTCCTTCAAGGAGACTGAATATCTTTCCCCATTTTTGCTAACCATTTAGATTTCTTCTCTTGTGAGTTTCTTGTAAATATCCTCTGTAAATTTTTACTTGGTTTGTTTGACTTTTTCTTACTGATTTATAGTGAATTCTTTGTATATTTTGAGTGCTGATATTTTCCTGTTTACTTAAATTCTCTTTGTGGGAGGAGGAGAGATTAGATTGCTTTTCATTTGTGAGTTTTGGATATGGTGATTTGTTAAACAAAATTAAAAATTTTAATATAAACATATGACTCTTATATATGTCAGTTTTTCATCACTATAGGAAAGTACCTGAGGCTGAATAATTCTATTAAGAAGGGAGGTTTTTTTAAGTCACATTTCAGGATGTTCAAGCGTGGCACCACATTCAGCTCGGCTCTGTTAAATCCTTCTGGTGGATGGTATCAGAGTGAGAGTGCATGCAGGAATGAGAGATAACCTCAAAAGGCAGAGCACTGGATAGGGACATGCTTGCTTTTTAAAGTAGTAACCTCTCATGAGAACTAACTCAGGGGTCCCTTGAGAAGTATTGTAACCCTTTCTGAGCACAGCCTCAAATAACATAAAAGCCTGCCTTTTGAAAATTCCATACCACCACTCAACATATCTACTCTGCTAATAAGCTTACAAAACTCAGCTCTCAGGTGTGAAAATCAATCACATCCAATCCATAGCAAATCTTATTAAGATGTACGAGTTTTGCACTTTGCAAAAGAAATGTCTCCTAATGTGATATTATAACTAAACTCCTCTGTAGTTTCTTCTAATTGTACGTGTTTTATTTTGGGGGGTAAGTTTTGTAAAATTTCAAATTGCAAGTAGAATAATACGTGTTTTATTTTGGGGGGTAAGTTTTGTAAAATTTCAAATTGCAAGTAGAATAAAGTGGGTTTTTACCCTAGTTCACATTTTAATCGTTGGATGAGTCAATCAGAATGGGATATGATACATATTCAGGACTGAATTTGAAACCAGTCTTACTTCTAACCCTTCAACAGGACCAAATGAGAATTCCCTCAGCATCTGCTGCCTTCTACCACAATCTGATCAAGGATAGGTCCACACTTATCCTTTCCATACATTTTATTGTTACGGATTATATCAATATTCAGTCTTTCTACCTGGATGCTCCTCCATTTCTCTGTAGGTTTGAGGATACAGTAGAAATGAGGCAGGAGATTTATAATCATGCTTCAACTAATGGCTTTCAGATCCGAATATCTAGAGATGTAAAGGGAAAGAATTGATACAATCTTTCCTACCAGTGTGGACCTGGCGCTCAGGTCAGCCAAAATATCCAGCTACATAATTAATGGAAACTAATCCTGTCTCTGTTTAATGTTTTATTCCTGATGAAATAGCTGTGTAAATAGGGAGATTATACCTATAATCCTTTCAGAGGGTTATATTTTAGGATGACTTTACTGGTTTATACAATATGCATTATCTAGAGAGAGAAGGAAAGTGAAAGGAGAAGGTATGAGATTATTAACTAATCACTAAATACTCGAGGCTTCAAACACATTATTCAGTATAATATGGAGAAACCTTTAGTTGGCAACTAGGTCTGTAGGATATTAATATGTAGGCAAATCATCCCCAAATCAGTGGCTTAAAACAACTACTCATTACTTTCATGAGTCTACAGGTTACCTGGGTGGTTCAGTTGATGTGGGCCAGGCATGGCCAAGCCCATGTGGGCTTGCTCCTGTGTCTGTGGTCACATGACATGTTGATCAGTGGCCACCTGGTCCAAGAAAATCTGTTAGGGAGACTCAGATCTGCTTTACAGGGCCTCTCATCCCTGAGAAGCGAGCCATGATTGTTCACATGGGAGAAGCAGAGCTCCAAAGCAATGAATGGAAGTACTGAAAACTTTTGACTCGGCTTTTGAGTTAGCCTAGGCTTAGAATTGGTCCACCCTTCATTCTTTTGCCAAAGGAAATACCAAGGCCATCTTAAGTTCAAAATGGTGTAGAAATCAACTCTACTGATGGTGTGAGTTACAAAGTCACATTTTGAAGCATGTGCATACAGGAAAATTATCAGTTGAGCTGTTAGTGAAACCAGCCTACTGCAGCAGTTAACACAGATGCCCTTAATGCTTCTTATTATTAGAATACGTGGTCAGAGACTCTGAGTTCCTGTCAGTGTTCCCTAAAATGGGCATTCATTTATTGGAAACATTAAGTGCATATAATATATATGTGCAAGTATAGTCACATATATGGTAAATGTTATAAAGAAAAAGTTTGGAGACTAACCTAAAAGGAGAACTCACCATAGGCTTAAAGGTCACAGAATATTTTATTGAAATATAATGTGACATTGAACTCTTAAGGATGAACAGGTGAAAAGGCCTACACATGTGCCAAAGCCTTTAGGCAAGTAGGAACATAGACTTTCAGAGGAACTAAAAAGAGACAGAGTGTTTAAAACAGGGGACTAAGAAGAATGAAATAGAGACAATCCTTTTAAAATTAGATATGGCCCCGTTTTGTAGACTTTTGTGTTTAGGCCATGGTAGAGTCTAGAGTTTTTATCCCCAGACAAATGAAAACACCGACAGTTCTTTAAATAAGAATGGCTAGGTCAGATTTCCATTTCTCATACAATAGTCCTGATTGAAATGGGGAGATTAGTTGAGAGTGAAGCAAAGAGAAATGTGAGGTGATGAGTTAGGAAGATTTGCAGAAGGCACGTGTCTAAGGTGTGACAGTGGAGACAGATGTGCGAAACATCTTAGTCTATTTAGAAAATGAAATTGATGGATAATGAGAAAGAGGCATGTCTGTGGCCTCTGGACATGGAGATCTCATTGGTTGAATTCAGAAATACGGTAGGAGATCCAAGATGAGTGGAAAGATCATGCATTTGGCTTTAAATATGCTTACTTTAAATGCTTTTCAGACATACCAGCAAACACTAAAAGACATCTGAGCTAGAATCTTAAATTAGGGAGCCATAGGTATGTAGAGCATAGCAGAAGCCTTGGACAGTGATAGATCCCTCTAAGACACTTGACTGTTAAAAAGAAGAGTTTCTGGGTGCCTTAAGAACTCTACAATTTAAATTTGGGCAGAAGAGGATCTGATTATGCTAAGGATATGTGTTATGACAGCTCAGAGAAAGGTTAGGAAGCCAGAGGATGTGAACATTTCTAGTGGTCCACATCTTTGATTTACTGAAGGTTCAAAGAAAACTAGGAGTGAAATGGCTCACTGGATTTTGTGACATGGAATTATTGTCAACTTCATTAAGTAGTATGGGAGCTAAGCAGTGGGAAGAGAAAAAAATTAATGGACACTCCCTTCCAAATACCACCTTAGTGTTTTGTTGCAGAAGATCCATCTCTGAAGATTTCGCAGAAATCTGGGGATAGAACTGCTACAGTGACTTCCCCTGCCATTTTCTTCTAAATTTAGTAGAATGAGCTCTTCCATAGCATGTTAGATTTGATATCTTCATCTTAGTATGCATGGGATGAAAAATACTATGAAACATTTTATAAGAAAGTGAGAGTGAATTTCACCAGTACTGATTGACTTGGTAATACTTGAAACTTATGTCTTTTCCTGTGTCTACCCAAGGTTAAGGTAAGATCTAAGTGAGCTGATGTCCCACTTTTTCATTAATTTTGCTTCCTAGTAATTTAGAACCCGAAACCCTCATATGTGTTTTGCTGCTCTTACTGTGAACTCTTTAGATCTCAAAGTCCCTGTCAGTGCAGTCATCTGGCTCTGCAGTATTTCCATACAAGACTTGAGAGGAAGGAAAAGTCATTGTACTGGTAATATTAACATGCACTTCCTGTGTCTCAGTTTCACACCAAAGGTATAATTTTGTGTCAGAGTAGCTTGTTCCTACTTTCTCTTATTTCAGTCTCTTTGCATGGAATAAATTCTTACCAAGCTTTGGCTTTCCTGACTTTTGAGTTCTTTTTCTGCTTCCATTAGTACAGCAACATTGGATTATTTTTCAGGGTTACTCTGGCATTTCACATAAACAAGATTGTATTTCCTTGTGTATTCTATAATGTAAAAATATACCCCAAATATTGTGGGAAGCCGCCTATGAATGGCGCCCATTTCCTGCTTCTGGGTTCTTCCCGGCCTGAACAAGCCCGCCAAATTGTCATATCTGCCCAGTTATCCGTGACGCTAGCCTATCAGCTTGTTAGGCACGCTTCTCTGTGATTGGATACTGCTTCCCCTTATAAGAGGTTGTTCCTGCCCCCAACGGCGGAAGAGGAACCAACGTTGAGGGTGGCGGACCTTGTCAGGTCCGGTTCGCTGTACGTAATAAAGTTTGAGAGCTGATCCTGCTCGAGTTTGGTCTCCTGTCTCCCGCGGCTCCGGTCATCTGGTGGCCCGTACGGGGAAAAAGGTAAAAGACTCAGCGACGTGCCTCTTCGGCCGGGAGGTGCGATTGCTGTCGCCTGCGGTACGACGGAGGACCTGGCCCAATAACAACGGAAGGCCGCGAGCACCTCTTCTCTTCATCCTGATCAGCTACGTGAGATACAGCGGTTCCCGGGACAGGTGAGTACTGGGTCACCTGGGTTGGGTGGACGCACCTAACAGATTTTGAGCGCCACACGAGTGGACGCCGTTTTTTTTTTTTTTTTTCTTTTCTTTTCCCTTTGCATCTGTTTTGCTTTCGCTTCGCTAATACAGCCCGACAGGCTTTTGATAGAGCTCGATCGGAATGCTCAGAGGAGCCCGGAGCCACTGCCGATTGTGGGTCTCCAGAGGACCCTCAGGGCTCTAATTCTGATTCGGATTCGGAAGGCTCAGAAGAGGAGGTCGTCTTTGCTAAGCATGACCCTCCTACACCGTTAAAAGAGGAACTTAGGGCTCAGGAAGATAAAAAGGGGAACCAAACACCACCCTGCCCGAGCTACTCCGCCTTACGGGAAGAGCTTAAGCCCTTCCGCCCTTTGGCAAGTTCGCGACCCATGGTCGCTCCCTTCAGGGCGCCAGGCCCCACTGCACCACCGTGGCCGGAAGAGGAGTTGCTCCCTGGGCTGCCACCACAACCTATGGCACCGCCCTGGTTAGAGGGAGAGCTACTTCCTGGGTTGCCTTCTGCGCCCCCATCTGGGGAGGGAGGAGGACGTTCCTTCCACCAGAGGGTATGGTCGAGGCTTCCCTTTGAGTGTTCCGGTCTCCATGCATTCCCGGTACAAGTAGGAGGCAGGGGAGGAGGAGGATATTATGAGCCCTTAGAAATTAAACAACTTAAAGCTATCAAGGACGCAGTTTCAGCTTATGGGCCCAATGCGCCATTTACCATGGCGCTTTTAGAGGCATTGGCAGGTCTGCTTTTAACTCCTGGAGATTGGACCCAGCTGGCACGCGCCTGCCTCTCCCCCGGACAATATTTAGATTGGAAGTCCTGGAATGAGGAATTCTGTGTAGAGCAGGCGGCAGCCAACAGGGAAAATAACCAGAGAGAGTGGAACAGGGATATGCTATTAGGGCGAGGAGCCTTTGAAGAAGATCAAACTCAATACCCTCGCCAGGTTTATGAACAAATTAGCCGCTGTGGCCTCCAGGCCTGGAGACGGCTGGCTGGAAAGGGAGAACATACGGGTCACCTTACAAAAATTATACAAGGGCAGGGAGAGCCATTTTCAGACTTTGTGGCCCACATGCTTGAGGCCGCTAACAGGATTTTTCCAGATGCTGAGGCGGCTCACCCTCTCATAAAACAATTGATTTTTGAACAGTGCACTAAGGAGTGCTGTGATGTCCTAAGAACTAACAAAAATAGGTCCTTAGAAGAGTGGACACGCCTGTGCCGTGAATTGGGTGGCCACGGCCTAACGCCCAAAGGAAGAATATCATTGGCACTCTTTACCATAAATTTTTAAAATCTTAATCACAATAATCATTCCCCTGCCATGGAGCACAATAACCCGTCCCCGGCCGACAAAGGGCTGGTGAGATGGAAAGATGTCCTTACAGGACAATGGATGGGCCCGGATCCAGTGGTTAGTTGGACCCGAGGTGCGGTTTGTGTCTTCCCACAGGAACCAGGCTGCGAACCGCTGTGGGTCCCGGAAAGATTGACGTGAGCAGTAAACTCCCCACCAGTTCCTGATAAAGCACAGGAAGATAAGCCCGCGGACACAAGTCAACTCGACCCTTCTGGGACCGACGCTCAGCGCCCGAGACCATCTACAAACTAAAATGTCTGGTTTGGAGCTTTTTCTATTCTGTGGGTTCCTATTAATCACCCCTGTGATATGCTCAGATTCCACAGAACCACCACAATATCTTTGGGGTCCTTGGCACCACCCGCCCACATTGGCACCTTTTTCGGCGGCCTCGCCCGCCTCACCCAGGGTTTACACCATCAATCAAACAGTCCTTGATTATGCTAATTGCCATGGCTATCCTAGTAGGGCTTGTGGTTATTAAATGCTTGTTAGATCGCCTCATACAAACTCAGCAGCAGGTTAAGATCACAGCTATGGCAGCCATGCAAATGGCAGCAGGTGGCCCATCAGGCCAGCAGGCCGCCGCATATCTCCTTCACATTGCAGAACATCAGCTATAAGAGCTGAGTGGGCAAGCCAATGACGGGTAAGACGGGAAAAGCCCTCCCAGTCAACCTAAGACAGGCTCCACTCAGATATATATGGCCTATAAGGCCAGGGGTCCCTCCCGGAGTCAAATTATTGGCATTGAGATGCGAGACCAAGGGTACTGCAGTGCCATCCGCCCCAAAGGTTGGGGGGAAGGCAGGAATGAATGTCTATATGCATCCAGGTTCGGTTCACAAAAGCCTGGCCCTGCGAAAAAATGAACCACTCACCTTGAGCATGGTCCTGGCGCAAGGATATGCACAAAACAGGGTGATGCACAGCAGGGTATAGACCTCTACATTCTCTCATGCCTCGGCCTACAAGGTAGGCCCACTCCTAGGTGTCTAACAGCAACAAGGTCATAGACACCTTGGAGGGACCTACAGACCATCCTATTTTAATAAATAAAAAAGGGGGAGATGTGGGAAGCCGCCTATGATGGCGCCCATTTCCTGCTTCCGGGTTCTTCCCGGCCTAAACAAGCCCGCCAAATTGTCATATCTGCCCAGTTACCCGTGACGCTAGCCTATCAGCTTGTTAGGCGCGCTTCTCTGTGATTGGATACTGCTTCCCCTTATAAGAGGTTGTTCCTGCCCCCAACGGCGGAAGAGGAACCAACGTTGAGGGTGGCGGACCTTGTCAGGTCCGGTTCGCTGTACGTAATAAAGTTTGAGAGCTGATCCTGCTCGAGTTTGGTCTCCTGTCTCCCGCGGCTCCGGTCAAAATATCACTAATTGTTTCTTTGGACAAATTGTTACCACCAAGAACAGTGACACTGAGAAACACATGTCATCAGTATTTAGCAAGGGCATGTAAAAATGCTTTAGTAGATGGCTTAAGAATATTTAGTGAAGAACAACCCAAGAAAGAAACTCAGTTTCATTTAAAAGTCCTGCTAAAACCCAGGATGCTCCATTTTTCTCTCTCAACTTTTCTTCTTGCTTTAGTGACCTTATCATCAGTCACCTGTCACCAAACTAGAAGAATTAGATCTGCACTTTAGTGGCAATATTGGTCCTGTCAGTGGGATGGACAGTTTCTTAGTTCTTTGGCCATAGGAAGGCCTCATCAAACCACCAAAGTCCTCAGCTGGCACGTGGGCAGGTTAACAGCAAAAGAATGAAACAGAGTTCCGCTGGGGACAAAATGGTCTTTGTTACTTTATCCTTCTTTGTTCTTGGGAAATGGTGTGTCTCGTCAAAGAAGGTGCTCTAAGTATATTAGAAGAAGGCAAGTGGGATAAATCCCTGGGAGAGCAGGGCTTTCTATTTGAGAATGTATATTTTCGAAGCTCACAGAGTGTTTCTGTGTAAGAAATGTGTGATCCATAACAATATGGCTTCTATTTTATTTCTACTTGGCTGTACGTTATGGAGAAGAGCTAGGTTTCTAGTAACTGCGTCATTCACTTAGTAATTCAGCAAGGTCAGGAAGGAGGAGCAGCGCTCTGTGGTCAGAAGCTGCTGTGGTGGCAAGAGTGCTGGAGCGCAGAGCCCTGTTCTGAACTGGTGAAGCACAGCCAGCTCTGTGGCCACAGATAACCCTTTTGTACCTCCATTTCTTCCACTGTAAAATGGGTTGATCATAAAATGTTGTACAGAGTGGTTGTAAGGGTTCAGCCAGCTAACATGTGAATGGTAGCTTTCAGCATTGTGGGAGTGTTTTGTTAACTGATACATGGGTTCCATCTGTTCCTAAGGATGTCCTATAAGTGAGCAATACAGATATTACTGTCTTACATGCTTAATAAAATTCATAAGAAAGTACTGTGATATAATACGTTCATTGTATAGAAGAGCAAGTAGAGATTTAGAGATATTAACTCCCTCCCCAAAGTCAGTACAGATAGATAAGTGGCAGAATCCTCAAACTCCAGGGGCTGGAGCATTAAGCGCGTGCCTTGCAAGCAGGCAGTCATAAGTTCGATCCCCGGTACCGATAAAAAGGAAAAACACAGAAAAAAAAAAAAAAAAAGAATCCTCAAACTCCAGCCTCCTGACCACATACCATATTGTTTTCGAAGCATTGTAAGGAGCCTTCCTGCCCACCCTGCAGCGTACCTTTGTTCTTTAAAATTGCACACTCCAGGGTGAGCACACCAACCGGAAAATATAGCTTTGTTGGCCCTATTTCTTGAGCGCAAGGAGGTTGATGCAAAACTTGATTAAAGGAGTACAGGATTGGATTTGAGTTATTTCCATTGCCTTCTCTATGACCATGAGAAGGTCACATAACTGCTAAAACTGAGTTTCTCACATTTAAATGAGGATCACAGATTTTTCTTCGTGGTGGCTCTGAAGATTAGCTGAGATGCATATTAATAATACTTCACAAATGTTTCATTCTGTTGAGTAAAACCTGGGTGGGGTTTTGGTGAGGATTATCTGAATGCACAACCTCCTGAGGGATGGTCTTGGGCTGTGAGAAGTAACTGTCACTCTCATAGGAGAACCAGCTGTTATTTGTCTTGCTCCTCCAGTGTCTTTCAAGTTTAAGCCTAATGCTTGAAATAAGCAGCTATTTCCAGTTAGGGTCCTCAAATGATTGGCCACTACCAAGAGGGTTTGTTGTACATGCCCATGGTAATAGACTGAATTTAGGAAAGGGTGCATTGAGTGGGGTACTTATTGACCAGAGAAAAAACAAGCCAAAGCCTTGGCTAATTTGTGTAATCAGCTTTATCAATTTGCATAAATTGTGCATCAGGCTATATTCCTCTTGGGCATAATAAGCTCAAATTTAGTTTTTCTAATTTTAAAGTCATCAGTCGCTTTTTTTTTTTTTCTCGCTCCTTCTATTCCTTTTTGGGACTTGTATGGGTTACACCTCCATGCATCTGTCAGGTGGTCAGATGGGTCCCTAATTCATAGGAACCCTGTCAGCGCCTTGCTATAGCATCTAATACTTACACTCCAAAAGAGATGTAGCCTTGACCCTGGATTCTCTACACTGTTTTACATATTTTCATCTGAAGTTTTTTATGCCCCTGATTTGGTTGTGTCCGTGTTCAGATCAGGATCTTCTGGATATTTTTAAATGAGCCCTTTCCATTTTCTGTGAAGTTTTACCACATCTTTTCACATGACTGCCAAACGCTAGATGTTTTCCCTCTAGCAGGCTTTCTGTCCCATATTCCACCCATTTCTTTCTTTCATTAACACTTCTTCCAACTTATCATTTCTACTAAAGATTTCTGAATAGTTCTAAATGGTTTTGAAAGACTTTGGCTTTACGTTGTGGTTATTGGGTGGTTTTTCAATATTTTAGGGCTATAATAGCTGAGTAGCCCACTTTCTCTCAAACCCAGGCCACTCTCTCAATTCCACCCCACTCCTCATTTTTCCTGGACCACTTCTGAGGTATCTTACTAGTTTTCTGCTTTCAGTCTTACCGTATGTATTAATTCATCTTTCACATTGCCACGAGTCTGAGCCTGGAGATGACTAAACTGCCTAAACAAAAGAGGTGAACACAGAACTTGTTCTCCAACCTTAGTAGTTAGAAGCAATGAACCTCCTTGAAACTAGCAAGTGCTGAAGAATAAACATGAGAAAATAATATTTTACAGAGTATGTAAATAGCGTAAGCAAGGTCATTCAAGCTGAAAACATTAACTGCTCTGAGAAGGGTTTAAATTTATAGATGGTACCTTAAACACATGTCCCTAAGCTTTGAGGGGGGTGAAGTCACATGGGACCTGGGCCAAAAACCACCATCAAAGACAAAATACTGGATTCCTGGACAACTGGTGTAACAGACAAGATTCCTTATAATTTTATGCTGTCCAGAGGGCTTAACTTATGACATAAAATCTTTATCTTGAAGATGCAAATGTGAACCTAATGTCCTTTTTAAAGCAGTAGCTAGTTATGAAGCTAGAGATGTTTAAGCCCCAGGCTTTACAAACAGTTTTATAATAGCATTAGCCTGAAGATTACCCCTGCCTCTATTTTATAACACAAACATTTGCAAATCTGGGCATTTGCAACTATTTCTGTGTCTTTCAGTGTCGCCAGAACTTGAACAACTACTTTCAGAGAGGCTTTGCTTCCTCTCTCAAATCCATGGAGAATGGCGGAGGAGAGCAATGCTGAACTTCCATTCTGTCCGCAGCCTTGTCGGAGCTAACCTGCTCACATTTCCTTTGGGCCAATCATTTTCATGGCTGGTTTAAAGACTATGTGCCTTATTTGGAGCTGCTGACGCAGGGCAGGGAATAGCCACCTGGCAAATGCCTGGGGTTTTGAATGATTCCACTAACTTGAAGTCTAGGCCAAATTCCCCTCAAGTTGTACTGAGGTTTGTAAACCTTTTGGCAATGTTGGACTAGGACTGGACAAGGTAATCAGTGTTTCATGGTCCTCAGCTAGGTGTGAAATTTTAATCAAAGAAATTTATTTTTGCAAAAATATAACACACCACCAGAAATGTCACATAGAATTAAGCTTTAGATTCGCTGAGGTTCAAGATGCATCAGATGGTATTTTACAAAATAACAACAAATTCTATTCTCTTTGGCGGGGAAGGTAAGGGCATTAAAAATAAACAGAATCGAGGTCATTCTGGTACTCCTTTAGTCTTGTGGGGTAATATTACAATGGTTTTTACTTCATCCACATTTTGGAACTACATGATTATTTTCTACTTTCAATTGCGAGATGACACAGACCATATAACTTCAGCTTCAAAATATACTGTCTAGATCAAAGAGATATAATGGAATATTGTAGCTACTGCTGTTACGTCCTATATGGTCTCCAGACCTGCTCTAGACTACCGCAAGTTCATCTAGAATGGTTTCTATAATTCCAACATCTGGAAAAAAATTAACAGTCTAGAAAACATTGGGACATTAGGCTAAAATGAGAACAGACTCTCACCCTCTTACCCAGGCAGAAAGGGCAGAGCTGGTTTCTTCATGAAGGAAATTCAAGGTTTGATAAGGAAGCATACTAATTCAATGTGGAAAATGGATAAGAAAGATCCTTCTGTGAATTGTGGTACACTAAATTCACCAGAGCGTATCCAGGATATCCTGGAGAGACAGGGTCCTCTGAGTATTGTCTGCCAGACTTGTGCCAAAAAAATCATCCCAAGTCACCATATGTTAGCCATTACAAATGTTAATTCACACAAATGCCATAGGAACTATTTTCTCACCATCTCTCATTGACCTTGGGTAAGTCCATAGGTCTTCATCAGTTTTGTGATGGCTTTTTGTTATGTTTTGCATGTGGAAACAAGGGTTGGAGTTAGGGGGCAGTTTTGGGCATGCAGCAGAATGTTCTAGCATCACAGTGCTTGGTTTATATCTTGGCTGTGCAATTTCCAGCTGTGTGATGTTGGAAAAGTTGCTTATCCTTTATGTGCCTGTTTGTCACCTATAAACAGTTTGCAGTAGACTCTACCTTAGAGAGTTATTGTAAGTATTAGAAATACTATCAATGATGATGTCTTTAACACAATAATCATTAAATATGTTAACAGTGATGCCTTAGCATAGTGTGTGTGTGTGTGTGTGTGTGTGTGTGTGTGTGTGTGTGTGTGTTTACAGAAAGAAGTATGTAATAATGGGTTTTAACAAGAGAGTCCAGGCCTATGGCGGCTTGAGCTATGATAGAAAACTAACTCCATGGAAGAGATTTCCAAGCCTCATTCTTGACCTTGAGGCCTGTGATAG